TTCATCTGGGCTGAGAGATGGCCATGAGAACCAATACTCACTGACCGATGGCTGAAGGTTTGAATATTTGTCTGGGCATTTGCCCATTGACTCTACAGACTTTAACTTTATGGGTTTAAGGATTTTCATTACTTTCTAATTGCTGCTACGTAGAGTGATGTCCTCTTTATGTTCCCGGATGCTGGTTGCTCTTGCCTTCTATATATATATATATTTCTGGATTTAACTGAGCTTTGTCAGCTTTAGTGTCCGAATCAAATAAAAGTTCCTGATGTTGTTCATTTCTACTGAATATTTTTTCTATGTGCTCTTAGCATTTGGGATTTCCTCCCTTCAAGTTCCTTTTGGTTTATTTTACTGTTATTTTCCTAAGGTTTGAAAAATAAACTCATCTCTGATATAGACATCTGAAGTTATATATATTTCTTCTAATAACCACTTTAGTTTTCCACTAAACATTTTATACATACTATTTTTTTAAAATATATATTTTTATTGATTTCAGAGAGGAAGAGATAGGGAGAGAGAGAAACACCAATGATGAGAATCATTGATCGGCTGCCTCCTGCATGCCCCCCCACTGGGGATCGAGCCCACAACCCGGGCATGTGCCCCTGACCAGAATTGAACCCAGGACCCTTCAGTCCGCAGGCCAACGCTCCATCCACTGAGCCAAACCAGCTAGGGCCTTAGTATTTTTATTATCACTTCGTTTTAAATAATTTTAAATTTGCGTTAATGATTATTTTATCCTTGACTTATTTATAAGGAATTTTCTAAATTTCACTAATATACATATACGTAGTTATGTTTATTAGTATATATATTATATATATATAATATATATATATTAGTAGTATATTATAAATAGAATATGCTCTTGTTATTGATTTCTAGCTTAATAGCCTTGGAATCAGTGAACATATTCTGTATTTCAATCCATTGACATATGTTGAAATTTTGCTTTATGTGGCCCAGTATATGATAAAATGTTTTGGAATGTTTACTGTGTGGGCTCAAATAGAATATATATCTTCTCATCATTTGGGACAAGTTTTCTATCTATGGCTGTAGATCGAGTTCATTGATGATGTTGTTTATGTGTAGTATAATAACAAATCCTTTAGTGATTTTCTTGTCTGTGTGTTTCATCAGTGATTGTAAAATATATATTAAAATTCCCTCTAGGAATGTGGATTAGTTTTTTTGTGTGTGTGTGTGTTTTTTTAATTGTCAGTTTTTGCTGTCTGTTGTCATATCATGTACATTTCAAGTGTTATGCCTTCCTGGTAAATTGAACCTTTAATCATTATGAAGTGGTCCCATTTATCTCCATTAATACCTATACTGTAAAGTATATATTTTCTGATACTAATATACTTGCGATGGTCGGTATTTCTCAAAAAAAGTCAATCAAAGAACAATCTAGGTTTCACATAGATCTCTTGTAAACAACATATATGCACATTTCCCCCCAGCCTGACTATATTTGTGTTTTATTGAGAGCACTAAGTCCATTTGTGCTTAATGCAATTTTTAAAATGTATTGGGATCTAAATACAGAATCTTATATTTGTACTATATATATGTTCTTCTCTTTTTTTCCCTCTCTCTTAATCTTCCATTTCTTTTTTTTCTCTGGTTTGATTGAATAATGTTTCCAAACCTTTTATACTTCTCCTAGTTTGGAGGTGATAAACTTGGGGTAGATTCTTTTAAAAATATCCTTGAGATTATAACAAAATATCAAAATCTAAAGCTTATCATATTTCATTTTCTCCTGAATAATATAAAGACTTTATCAAATGTAAATTCTATTTACACATTTATGAATTATGTTACTATAGTATGGTATTTAAATACTATATTTTGTGTTTGACTCCTCTACACATCATTATATTTTATAAGTATTTGTTTCTTTCTGCTCACATATTGGCCACTTTATAATGGTTTCATTCCTTTTTGTATATTTCAGCTTCAATCTGGGATCACAAATACCCAAATTATATCTTTTAGAATTACTTGGAGAAGTTTTTGTTTATGAATGGTCTCATTTCTGTTTGTATTAAATATCTTTATTCCACCTTCAAGCTTAAAACATAATGTTAACTAAGTAGGACTTTTGAATTAACATCTGTATCTCTCAGGACATAAGATATCCTTCCACTGTATTTGGTCTTCTCATAGCGTCCCTGAAAAAAATCAGCTGTGTGTCTAACTCTGGTCTTTTTAAATGTATTCTCTTTTATTTCTACTCTTTTTTTCTTTGTTTGTTAATTCTCACCCAAAGATATTTTTTCCATTCATTTTTAGAGAAAGCGAAAGGGAGAGAGGGAAGAGGGGAGGAGAGAGAGAAAAAGAGAAACATCAATGTGAGAGAGACACATCGATTGGTTGGGCCGGGGTTTGAACCTGCAACCCAGATACGACGTGCCCTCGATCCGGAATCGAACCCGAGACCCTTTAGTTCTTGGGTCGACGCTCTAACCATTGAGAAACACAGGCCAGGGCATTTTTCTGACTACTCTTAAGAATTCCCCCTACTCCTTGGAGTTCATTGGTTTTCTTCAGTTGCACAGAAGGTGTGGAGGCTTGAATCTCTAAGAGGTAGCTGCTGGGATTGGCGTGGGAAATGAACGGGAGGCTGGTTAGAAATGAGGTGGGTGAGATCAGCTCAGACAAGGGTGTGTCTGCCGGGAGCCGGTCCATGCTTGCTGTTTCAAGGGACCTGGCATATATGGCATACTGTTCTTAATATGTTTGCTCACCTTCTTGGCACTATGTGTTTTAACCAAGGTCTCTGAGAAAGGTTGTTTCCCCAGGTAGGGATTTTCCCCTGAAGTTAGGGAGGGAATAAAACCTCTTAACTAAATGCCAGGCGGGTAATTAATCACTTTAACTAGGAACAATCATGCTTAAGCTACATAATCTTTACTCCCTGGAATGGAGATAAGAAAAGCCCTAACCTTTGGAATAGAGATTGATAGGATTGGAATCAACTGGTATAAATACAGATGTAACAAGACAGAACTTAGAAGACAGAACCTACACAGGAACCAGAAGACAGAACCTACACAGAACCTAGAGACAGAAGAACTTCTCTGGAGAGAACATGGCAAAAGATCCTGGACAGAAACTGGCCACAGAACCTAGAGACAGAACCTAGCGAGAGAACCTGGCTGAAGAACCTAGAGACAGAACCTGGCTACAGAACCTGAATAGAACATGGCAAGAGAACCTGACTAGAACCTGGTGACTGAACCTGGCTGGAGAACCTGGACAGAACCTGGCTGGAGAACCTAGCGAGGGAACGTGGCTACAGAACCTGTCTGGAGAACCTGGAGAACCTGGCTGGAGAACCTAGCAAGAAAACATGGACACAGAACCTGGCTGGAGATCCAGACCAGAACTTGGCTAGAGATCCTGGCTAGGCTGCTGATCAACTGAACGCTGTCTCCGTGTCATTCCTTCTTCGCCGACTCCATCCACAGCTTTGGTGACCCCTGGACCTGCTGGGGTGGGACCCCGGCATGTGTCGAGCCTTGGACAGAAAGATGAAGTAATTAAACTTTACTGGGGCACTCATGAAGACGTCTGAGCCGGTTGTGACACAAACATCAGATGCTGTGGCCTCTGGCACTCCAGGCTAGAGGGGAGAATTGTTAGCAGGAAGTTTGTTGTAACAGCTAACAAAAGACCTGACCCACATGTGTTCAGAGGTCACAAAAAGCTTTGTCAGCACTTTATTTATTTACTTATTTATTTACTAGAGGTCCGGTGCACAGATTTATGCACATTGAAATTAATTAGAAGGTGGCTGGTGGGGTGGAAGTGGGCGAGATGGGCCAGACATGCCCTGGAGCCCACCTCCCACAGTCCCACCCCAGCCAGCCACACCTGGGGTGGTGCCAGGGCTCGAAGGGTGTCTGGGGAGTGGGGTCCCTCCGGCAGGTGGGGTCCCTTATCCTGGTCCGTGGGGTTCAAGCCAAAACTGGCAGTCTGGCATCTCCTGAGGTGTCCCGGAGTGCTAGAGGTCACTCTGCAAAGTTGTTATCACTTGGCAGCTCCTGCTTTGACCATCTGCCCCCTGGTGGTATTGTGCATCATAGCTACCAGCTGATTGGCCAGTAGCTTAGGCTTTATATATATAGATTTGTTCATCCTCACCTGAGGATATTTTTCCCATTGACTTTTAGAGAGAGTGGAAGGCAGGGAGGGAGGAGAGAAGGAGAAAGAGAGTGTGTGAGAGAGAAACATCAGTGTGAGAGAGACACATCGATGGGTTGCCTCCTGCACAAGCCCCGACTGGGGCCGGGCATCAAACCTGCAACCCATACGTGCCCTTGACTGAGAATTGAATCCACCACACTTCAGTGCATGGGCCAATGCTCTAACCACTGAGAACACCAGCCATGGGTGTGTTAGTGCTTTTGTTAACTGTTTCATAGCTACTGTTTATTGGTCTTTCACAATAGCCTGGTTAGATAGGGGTGATTTCCCTGCTTTGCAGAACAGCAGAGAAATAAACTGACTCACTCGATATGCGGTATAGATGGATTTGAACTCAGTTCTTTCGGACACAAGTCCTTCGGTCCTTCATATATACCAGAGGATTCAGACCATTGCCAAGAAAATCGTTAATTTTAAAATAATCAGACACTGAGGTTATGGGCTGAAAAAAAATCATGAACTTAACCGGTTGAAGTCCTAAACCCAGTACCTCATCATTTCTCCTTACAGTTCGGTTATGTTTCCTCATAGAGTCTTTAAAGAGATACTGCGGTTCAAGTGAGGTCATTAGGGTGGGCCTTAGTCCAGTATATCTGGTGTCCTTATAAGAAGAGGAGGTTAGGACACAGACACTCAGAGGGAGGGCCATGGGAGGACACAGAGAGAAGACGGCCATCTGCAAGCCTAGCGGAGAGGCCTCCCAAGGCACCCGGCCTGCTGGCACGTTGATCTCAGGTTTTCCGCCTTCAGGACCCGGAGCAAGTAGTTCCTCACTTGTGTGTCTTGATCTCTGAGTACACGGTGTTGGCATCTTCATTTCCCTGAGGCTTCCGGTTGTGAAACCTGACGAAAGCATAGTGGAGCTCCGGCTCCCCTTTGGCGGGGGAGCCAGCACCATCAGGGGCTGAGGGAGCCGTTGGGGGAGCTGCAGGGCTATCCGTCCAGAACGGGTGCTGATGTGCCTGAGTGGAGAGAAGAGGAAGGGTTCCAAGCAGCTCAGAAGGGTCTGGAAGGGAGCGGCCAAGGGCCAGGCTGAGATTGGGAATGGTGGGAGTTTTATCGTTTACCAGTCCATTTATTTTAAAAGGTGTAGTCATGGCCCTGGCCAGTTTTGCTCAGTGGGTAGGGTCCCCGGTTCGATTCCGGTCAAGGGCACCTACCTCGGTTGCAGACTCCCCACTCCCCCGCCCCCTTAGCCCAGTGCCCTGGTCAGGGCTCGTGCAGGAGGCAACCAATGGATGTGTTTCTCTCACATCGATGTTTCTCTCTGTCTCCCTCTCTCTTCTACTCTCCCTAAAAATCAATGGAAAAATATCCTCAGGTGAGGATTGACAACAAAAATGTTTCGTCAATTCCCAGCTGGCGTGGCTCAGTGGTTGAGCGTCAACCTATGAACCAGGAGATCACGGTTCGATTCCCATTCAAGGCATAGGCCCAGCTTGCAGGCTCGATCCCCAGTGTGGGGCGTGCAGGAGGCAGCCGATCAAAGATTCTCTCTCATCATTGATGTTTCTACCTCTCTCTCCCTTTCCTTTCTTCTCTGAAATCAATAAAAATCTATTTTAAAAAAATAAGTTAAATTAAATAACCACTTGTGCAATTCCAGGAAGTGTGGGGCATCTAACATTGAAATGTCTAGAAGCCCCGCTGGTGGGCAGCATCCAAAAGGTATAATGTTGAATGGGGGCTACGTCCCATTACTCACCCCGGAGCCGGCGCCTGGGTGCACATCCTTGTCCATGCTCTGCATCAGCTGGGCTGCTTTTTCCCTGCAGGTCTTCACTCTATGGAAACAACCCCAGGCATTTCAGCCTTGTTACTTGGGGCATGGAATGGGCAGACCGCCCCTAGTCTATATGAAGAGCATGTGACAGGTGCTCCCCGAACCCAAGCGCCAGACATAGAGTAGCTGGGAAGAGACCCCAATCTACTTGGCCCAGTAGATTACAGGTTGTTTCATGCCAGCGCCCGACCTCCCTTCCCTGGCTCCTGGCTTTCCCACCAGCCCGGGGTCCTCCAGCTCAGGTTTTCTGCGATTCCCAGACCTTAAGTCCTTCCCACCCCAGGCCCCACCCTCTGTCCCTGGAGCTCACTCCCACCTGAAGGTGAGACAAAAGCAGAGAGAAAGCAGGGCCAGGGCCATGATGCCAGCTCCCCCAACCACTGCCAGGATTCCACCGGCCCTGGATTCCGGTTTACCTGTAGGTAGTTTGAGATTTGTGTAAATTCCAACCCCAATCCATAGCATCCTCCAAACTGGCCATTTCTGTCTCTGCCTGGCCCGTGAGTGGACACTCTCCGTCCAGGACTCGGTCACTCGACACTCTGTCTCCCTATAGACCCTGAACCAGACCCTTCCCCTCCACACCCCCTTCCCCGACCTCAGGACTGAGGAGCTTACACACCAGCCACTCCCGTCCAAGCCTTAAAATGCCTCTTTTCCCAGCTCCCTCTCTCTGGGGCTGTTAGGGCTTGAATTGTGCGCCCCAAGATTTGTATGTTGCAGTCCTAGCCCTCCGTACCCCCACCCCCACCGTGTCTCAGAATGTGACTTGAGCCCTAACCAGTTTGGCTCAGTGGATAGAGCCTGCGGACTGAAGGGACCCAGATTCGATCCTGGTCAAGGGCATGTACCTTGGTTGCAGGCACATCCCCAGCAGGGGGCGTGCAGGAGGCAGCTGATCGATGTTTCTGATGTTTCTAACTTTCCATCCCTCTCCCTTCCTCTCATAAAAAAATCAATAAAATATATTTAACAATAATAAAAAAAGAATGTGATCTGATTTGGAGATAGGGTCTTTACAGAAGTGACAGTTACAATGTAGGTCACTAGGGTGGACCCTAAATCCAATAGGACCGGTGTCCTCATAAAATGGGGGAATTGGCACACAGACACGCACAGGGAGAGCGCCAGGAGAGCATGAAGGCAGAGACTGGAGTGATGCTTACACAAGCTGAGGAACGCCAAAGATTGCCAGCAACCGCCCCCCCCCCCCCCCGAAGTTAGGGAAGACCTGCAACACACCCCAGCCTCAGAAGGACTCCACCCTGCTGACACCCTGACCTCCGACTTCCCGCCTCCAGAACGGTGAGACCACAAGTCTCTCTGACTAAGCCTCCCTGTTGGAGGTATTTGGTGACGGCAGCTGGGAACCTACTACAGTGTCGGGGCTCCTCCTCCCCCCGGCGTCACCCCCTCAACAGGCCCCAGGCAGCAGCAGGACACTGGCTCTCTGGGCCTAATGAACAGGGAAGGAAGTGGCAACTGAGTCTGAGTCCAGCGTGGAGCCCCCACCCTCCACCAGGAGGCTCAGGGAGCTGTTGGCCCAGGGTCCCTGCAGAGCTGGAGGTGACCCTGTAGGTCAGTGTAGGAGGTGTTGCCATGGTTCCCCTCCAGCAGCCCCACCCCTAGCTGCCAGTGCAGGGAGGGGGCCGGCTGGGCCGGGGAGGAGCAGCTGCAGTGCAGACCCTGGTCCTCCCAGGAGCAGGAGGGTCCCAGCAGCTGCAAGGGGGGGGGGAAGGCGGGGGGGGGGGGGGAAGGGGTGTCTGTGGGGAGCGAGGAGAAGGGTCAGTGGTGCCCCTGCCCTCCCAGGACCCAGGTGACCTGCCCCCAGGAGCCCCTCACAGTGCACAGGGAGGCTTAACAAGACAGGGAGGGAGCCCAGCAGATACTGAGCTCCGCAAATTCATGCTCCATTTGCATCTCAGGCAGCTCCAGGAGCCCTGGTGCTGAGGGCTGGAGGGGCTCAGAGCTTGTTCCTCCAGCACCAGCTCAGGTGACACCACCCACTGCCGGGACTCAGTCTCTCCCCTTCCCACCTCCTCCCAGAACCCGCTGTTGGTTCTGTTCAGGCAGGAGATGGAGGGACCTGTCCAGGCAATTCCCCCTGTCCCCACGCAGCCCCCACCCCCAGCCCCACCTTCTCTCTGATCCACTCCTCTCTCCCTAAGCCTGTGACTTCAAAAGAACCCCTTACCTGGCAGCCGCAGGACAGAGGCGCTCTGGGCCCCTAGGACATTCCTGGCCTCGCAGCTGAGTCTGAGGTCAGAGCTGAGCCCCTGGCGGAGGCTCAGGGAGCTGTTGGTCCAGGGCCCCTCTGAGCTGGAGGTGACCGCGTGGGAGGCATTGCTGTGGTTCCCCTCCAGCAGCCCCGCCCCCAGCCGCCAGCGCAGGGAGGGGGCCGGCTGGGCCCTGGAGGAGCAGCTGCAGAACAGATCTTGGTCCTCCCAGGAGCAGGAGGGTCCCAGCAGCAGCGGGGGGTCTGTGAGGAGCGAGGGGAAGGGTCAGCGGTGCCTCTGCCCTCCTAGTTGGTTGGCAGTTAGACCTGAGCAGAGCGAGGATGATGGGCCGGGTATAGAAAACCACCCGGGCAGGAAAACCCCAGATGCCCAGCAAAGGGCAAAACTGGGAAGCCAAGGACCTCAGCCCCCGGTGACCTTTCTGTTGGGTCCAATCAAATAATGGAATCGATGCCCCTCCCCCGGGAACTGGCTTTTCAGGCCATTTCACTGTGGACATTCCCTTTGCTGAAACCACATTTCACTTGTGGTGACCACATTCCATGATCTCCCCTCCGGGTCTGCACAGAGAAGTCTCCGCCCAGAAAAAGGCGCCAAACGTCCTTTAAAAGCTACCGACTCCTGTCACTGGGTGCTGGAGCCATCCAGGCTCAGCCGCCTGGTGGGCGGATGATGGAATAAATTCGTGATCCCTCACCACCCTGGCTGCGTGCGTTCCTCCTTCGGGGCCCTAACACTCCCTGACCTTTCCTCCCCGGGCCTGTGGCTGGTGGTCATGGGGTCAACAGAGACTAGCCCTTAAGCGTTAAGCCTTCAGGACAAAGAGGTTCTAAACCCCGTCAAACTCATCGAGGCCTCGGTTGTGTTTCAGCTGCAGGCCCAGAACCAGCAGCAAAGCCAGAGGAAGTGGCACCACGGCTGACCTCAGGACCAGCTGCGGCGACCAGTGACCCCCTGCCCGGGACCCACCAATCAGTGGACACCATGACCCCGAAAGGACATACGCTGATGAACCTGATGAACATTCTATTGGGATCCTCCCTCCATGCCAGACCTGCAGATAAGCACTCTCAAGGCAGAGAACCAGCCCTAGCCGGCTTGGCTCAGTGGATAGAGCGTCAGTCTGCGGACTGAAGGGTCCCAGGTTCGATTCCGGCCAAGGGCACATGCCTGGGTTTCAGGCTTGATCCCCAGTGGGGGGCGTGCAGGAGGCAGCCGATCAATGACTCTCTCTCATTGATGTTTCTCTTTCCTTCTCCCTTCCTCTCTGAAATCAATAAAGAAATATATATTTTTTATAAAGACGGGGACTCAGTGTGCTGGGGGGCATACCCAGGGTTTCTCCTCCCCCTTCCTCCCCCCCCCCCCCCCCACACACACAGGGACATTACCTTTTATTCCTCTCTATCCTAAGCGCCATGGGCCCATTCTTTTGCTGCTGTAGCTTGTTTTCTAAGTCCCCTACTTCTACGGATCACTTCTTCTAACTCTCTGGCTTTCTAAACAAACTTCCATTTATCCTTTGAGTCTTGGCTCTGAATTCTTTCTTAGCCAGAACTCAAGAACTGAGGTTGCTGAACCAAGGTTCGGTCCGACCCCACCAGCCTAACACCTGCTGCCATTCTCAGTGCTGCCAACACCAAGACCCAGGTGAGCTGCCCCTGGGTAAGCCAGGACCTCCGCATTCACAGTGCACAGAGAGGCTTGGCAAGACAAGGAGGGAGCCCAGCAGGTTCTTAGCTCGGCAGATGAATTCACTTTCCTGTTCCATTTGCATCCCAGGTGGCCCCAGGACCCCAGGGTCTGAGGGCTTTTCCCTCCCTGCATGACACCTCCCACTCCCAGACCTCAGACTCTCCTCTTCCCACCTCCTTGCAGAACCCTCTGTAGGTTCCGCTTGGCCAGGAGATGGTGGGCCCTGTCCTAGCAATCACTCCTGTGCCCGCGCAGCTCCCCTCCCCCAGCCCCACCTTCTCTCTGACCCACTCCTTTCTACGTGGCCTCTGCCCCGAGCAGGCCCTGACCTGGCAGCAGCAGGACAGCGGTGCTCCGGGTCCCGTGCACATTCCGGGCCTCGCAGCTGAGTCTGAGTCCCTCACTGAGCCCTGCTCGGAGGCTCAGGGAGCTGTTGGTCCAGGGCCCCTCTGAGGTGGAGGTGACCACATGGGAGGCGTTGCCATGGTTCCCCTCCAGCAGCCCCGCCCCCAGCCGCCAGCGCAGGGAGGGGGCCGGCTGGGCCCTGGAGGAGCAGCTGCAGTGCAGGCCCTGGTCCTCCCAGGAGCAGGAGGGTCCCAGCAGCTGCGGGGGGTCTGTGGGGAGCGAGGAGAAGGGTCAGCGCTGCCTCTAATCTCCCCAGAACCCAGTTGTCCTTCCCCCTGGGGTCTCCCCACTCACAGACCACGGAGAGGCTGAGAGAGACGCTGTGGGAGCGCAGCCGGTGCTGAGCTAGGCAGGTGAACTGTCCTTCCTGTGCAGGCCCCACGCGAGGCAGCTCCAGGATCGCGGTGCTGGAGAGGGGGGTGGCTTTCAGGCCTGGGGACCCCCGGAACCAACTCAGCTCAGCAGGGGGGTTGCTGTCAGCCTCACAGCGCAGCCTCAGGGCCTCTCCCTCCAGGATGGAAAGGGATGTGGTTTGCAGAATCTTGAGGGCTGAGAGAGAGAGAGGGAGAGAGAGAGAGAGGGGTTGAACAAAGCTGGGGTCTCTCCTCCTTGCTATGTCCACACTAGCTCTGAGGAGAGGACCAACACCCCCTGGCCTCAGGCCTCCCGAAGGGGCCCAAAGTCGCCCAGGCTGCCTCGCAGATGGAGGACAGAGGACTTGGAATATGAAAAACAAATGCAGGCATGGGCCAAAGAGGAGGTAACGAAGCAGGAGGAGGCCAAACTTCAGAGAGGAGGGCGAAGCAAGAGGGACGCAAGCTTCCTTTTTATTTGGCCACAGAAAGCTGTGGGTGAGCAAAAGGTTTAGAGAGTTGAGGTGTTGGGGGGAGCCTTCCACCTGTCCTCAGTAGCTGGCCTCCCCTATCTATCCCACGTAGCTCGGAACTCACCTAGACCCTGTGTCCCTCCCAGCCCTGAGGACAGAGGCCCCTTCCTACCTGTGCTGTTTCCTTGAAGGACGCTGATGGCCATGTTCTGTGGAGCATCTGGGACAGAAGGACACCCATGGTGGGCACTGGGCCTTTCCCCAGCAGCCATGGAACCAGGAGAGGGGGTTCCCTTCCTGGTGGACTATCAGGACCCTGATTTCAAGCCCTGGCCCAGCTCTGCCCTGGCCCAGCTCTGCCCTGGCCACACCCCCTTAGGGGCCCGGGATCCTGCCCCAGAACTCACAGACCACATTGAGCCGGATGGTCTTCTCCACACTCACACCAGTGGCAGGAAAATGCACCTGACAGGTGAGGTTGGTGCCATGGTCCTGGGGCCGTGGGGTGAGAGTGAGCACAGAGGAGAAATGATGAGACCTGGGGCCCAGGGAGGTGTAAGCAGCTGATGTCCAGGAGAAGATGGGGGGCGTGCCCTCCTCACAGGCCCAGGGCACATAGCAGTTCAGTTTCTTGGGGCGGCCGGACTCCAGGGGCCCTGGGATCTGGATGTCAGGTTTGTCGGTCAGGGCTGGAGTGAAGAGAGAGGTGATGAGGACCCCTCGGCATGTCAGCCTGCCCCAGGGTTTTGTCATGGCTGTCCCCACCCCAACCCCAGGGTCCTTCATTTTTCCATTTCTGGTACCTGACACCAGGGGGCCTTTCTTTGGGCCCCTACGATACCTGTCACTTTCAGAGAGAGCATTTGGTCTTCATATGTATGTTCATAGAGTCCATATTTTACATGAAAGAAGTACGTCCCACTATCCCTCATGTTGACATCTCTGATGGTCAGGGAGCAGTCTTCGGACTTGGAGTCCATGGGAATCAAGAACCGGCCCTGAGTCCTCTCTTGTAGCTTCTCTTCTGGATTGTCTGTGGCCACCAGAATACCAAGCTTTTCATTTCCTACTTGCTTGAACCAATGCTTGTGCAGGTATTTATGGAACATCCTGGAGTAGTAAAACTTGCATGGCACAGAGACACACAGACTCTCCTGCACTGTCACAGACTCCTGTAGTACCAGCCGGTAGCTTGAACCCTTAGCCAGGGCTCCTAGGGAGAGAGAAAAACTCAGCCTGGAGCTCCAGGGCCTCCCCCGAGTGGGCTGCCCTCTCCCCTCGGCCCACTCACCTCCCCACAGCGCGGGCAGCAGCAGCAGCAGCCTCAGCAACATCTCTTCCTCACGCCCTGACACAGTCTGTCTGCTCGGTCCGGGTCCCTCGGCGAGAGGGTGGAAAGATGCAGATGAGGGAGGGCAGAGAAAGCTTCGACAGGAAAGCTGTGGTGAGAACCAAAGGTCACAAGCCCAGAAGAGGGAACCTCAGATTCAGAGAGTCTGCTATGATTGACTCTTTGAGATCGCCCAGCCCCATTTCTGCCTGTGGCAAATGAACCCTGAGGCTCAGAGGAAGCGAGAGGCTTGTCTAAGTAAGATAGCAAGGGTGGACAAGAGCCCCCGTGTCCTGGGTCCATGGGCCATCAACTGTACTGGAGAAGCTGGTCTCACCTGGCCAGCTCTCTGACCGTCATGGCCTTGGGACTCTCATGGAGGTGGCCCGCTAGGGATGGGTCTCGGGATAGCCTATATGGGCACCAGTGGCAGAACAGGGTCTAGAGGAGGCAACAAAAACACCACACACCACCACTCATTTCCTTCATTCACGCCTTTGCAAACTCACAAAAATGATTAAGTCAGTCCTGACCTTCAACTAGTTCAAGCAGTGAGGGAAGACAGACCAGCTGATGGGCTAGAGCTTTATCTGAAGGCAATGGGGAAACCGTGGAAGATTCTTAAGCAAGAAAGGATCAGGGTCATATAGGTATCAACATGGTCTCTCTGAGGCCAGGACAGGGAAAGAGGTGGAAGGGAAAGGCGGGAGGTCAAGAGGCCAGAGATCAGCACTATTGTGGTTGTTTAAGAAGGTGAGAACCAAATCTGCATGTTGTGGAGGAAAGATTTGAGGTGGAAGACACTTTGAGGAAGTGAAATTTGAGGGGAGGTGTGATGGGTGGGGGAGGGAGGCACCTAGAGTGACTCCCAGAGCCCTGACAAAAGTAACAGGGGGCATGGTGGTACCATCTCCAAGAGTAAATGGGCAGAGCTGAGCTGGGAAGAAAGTTGTAGGAAAACAGTAGAGTTGGCCCATGGGGCTCTTTCCTGGGGACCCTTGGCTACTTGCCACATTCAGAGACAATGTCATATATTGGGAGCCATGGTTCATGTAATCTCTTTCTATCCTGAAGTATTCCCACTTCCCCGCATCTTAGAAAATCTGATGCTCAGAGACCAACTGTGGGCCCTTCGGTCCCCCAGTTGGTGGAATTGGCCCAGGTTCTCTCATCCAGGTTTTGATAGGGCCTGTGGCCAGAGAGGGGATGATGGTGTCTGTTGGTCACCTCCAGGATATGAAGGTGGTTGTGGAGTGGGCTAACGTTAGCCCAGGAAACCCATGGGTGGGACTGGAGAGTGGGACAGGAGGCAGAGGCAGGCTCCCCTTTGCTGTGTCACTGACTGAAGGTCACACACAGTTCCTGCAATATCCTCCCAGGACCGGTATCTAACTGCAGCCCCGCCCAGAAACCTCTTGCTCAGACCTCAGGAGCCCTCACAGCTGTGGCCACTGCAGCATCGGCATCTCTGGGCTGCAGAGAAATAGTCCACATTCCCTTGACACCATCTGACTCTCAGCCTGGGGTTGGGGCCACTGCTGGTGGTAAAAGACCTGGAGACTCTTTCTGGATGGAAATGTATGGTTTCTGCCCCAAACTTCTCCCTTCAACAGAAATTCCCCCTCTCTCCCTTGGGCCTTTGCAGGGGAAGCGAAAGCTGAGCTCTTCTCCCCCCTGGACCACAGCAGGGTGGACCCTTCCCTCTTCTTGTACCCTGTAACCCTGCCTCTCACCTCCTGAAGACCAACACCCACTTCCCTCAAGACAGATGTGGAATTTGAGGGTCAATTTCCTCCAGACAACTTTCTTGGAGCCCTACTCGTGGGGACAGAAGAGTGGGATTCCAAGACTCTTCTGGGACCAAATCCTCTCTGTGCAGAACCCTTCCCGGGGCTGGAGTACCCCAGATGCCCCAGGAAGCATTGGGTGAACACTTTTTTTAAAAAATATTTTTTAATTGATTTCAGAGAGGAAGGGAGAGAGAGATAGAAACATCAATGATGAGAGAGAATCATTGATGGCTGTCTCCTACATGCCCCACACGGGGGATTGAGCCTGCAACTGGGGTGAGGAGCAGAGGTACATTCTACTACATGCTCTTTTGAACCCTTTGAATATATGAGATCATGCAAATAAAATGCCAGGGGAAAATAAAGTGAAAGGATTGTCAACTAAAGAGGTGAGGCTGGGTGAAGAGATAGGATCAAGAGGGGTCTTCAAAGGCAACATCTGATCTTTGAATGTGGCCCTTGGGGAGGGAGCTGAGAAGTTTAAGAAGAAGTCAGCTGCCAAAACAAAAGATCCCTCCAAGTGGTCCATAGAAGTGAGGATGCAAAGTCTCCATAAGATTTTTTTTTTTTATTAAGCACTGTTTGAATGTTCAGACTAATTTTATTTTTTTTGTTTTTGTTTTTTTATTAGTTAACGTATTACAAATGTGTCCTCATCCCCCCCCCATTAACCCTCAACCTCCCCACCCCCCCCACACACTCATGCTCCCATCCCCCTGTTGTCCATGTCCATCACAGCATTGCAAAGGAGAAGGTCTCTCCTGCCTGTATTATTTCCACGGAAGACACCGATGGTCAGGTTCTGTGGAGCATCTCAATTCAGAAGCATCCTCTTCAGTTTTGAAGTTAGTTTCCATTTTAGCATCCTCTTGGCCCCCTATCCCTGTCAGAATCCAGTCCTCAACTCTATTTGCCTCAGGTTCTGACTCTCTTGTTATTACTCACAATAACCCAGAAGTTATGGCCCAAACTCATAGGAGGCAATGAGCTGAATGGTTATTTCTGTGGTCACATGGGACCTCAGTAAGGTCAATTGGTAGGTGACATTGGTGCCATGGTGCCAGGGGCTATGGGATTGTTGTCAGCAAAAATGGCCCCAGATGTTAGACCTCAGTTCAGCAAACTCAGTTCATGGGTTCTGGCTAAGAGAAGAATTCAGAGCCAAGACTCAAATGATAAGAAGGAATGTATTTAGAGAGACATAGAGGTAGAAGAAGTGAGCCACAGAAGAAGTGGGCTCAGGAAACAAGTTACAGAGGCAAAAGAGTGGCCCTGGGAGCTTCAGAGAAAGAGAGGGGCAAGGAAAATGCACCTTGTGCTCAGGAGAGAGTGAGAACCCTGGGGAAAGAGGGGCAGGAGGAAGGCACGGGTGTGCTGGTAGAGAAAGAGTGTGCTGGGGGTTTTGTTTTCCATTCTGATGGCTTTTATCTGGAGGACTCAGGGGAAGACCTCAATGCAGCTGGTCCTGAGGTCAGCCATGGCGTTGCTCTCCCTGGTTTTTCTGCCTTTCTGGGCCTGAAGTTGAAACACAGATGAAGCCTAGATGTCATCTATGGGGCTAGTACTCAAGGGAGCGGTCATGTGAGGGCTTGTAGTTCTGCCCATTGCTAGGCACCTGAGGCTCTCCGCCCCGGTGACCCTCTGCACCTGGCCTATCGTCCCCACTCTGCTCGTGCCTATCTGACTGCCTACTACAGGATGATAGTGACTTCTGACATGTGAGCTGTTCCAGGACCCAAGGAGATAAGGGTGTCCCGTATCCAGAAGAAGATCAGGGGCTTCCTCCAGTTACAGGCTGCTGGCACCGAGCAGATAAGGGTCCCAGGTTGGCCAGATTCTAGAGGTGCCGTGGTTGAATGTCAGGTGTCTGGGTGAGGGCTGGGAAGGACAGAGGAAGAAACCCAAGACATGGAGAGGGGACTCCAAGGTGTGACTCTGGAAGTGGGCTCCGCACCAGCCCCCAAAATTCCTCCCCTCTGAGCCTCGGCTTCTGGGCACACCTACTCTCACTTTGATCCCTGCCCCTACATTATATGCAGGGGCCCTGTCCTACCCATCACATTCAGATACCGAGTCTTATACTTGAAACTAAACTTCACAACAGGTGCCCTTGAGGCAGGAAATTTAGAACAGGGAACAAAGGCCTCAAGCTCTACCCCTCCCCTTTTCCGTCTTGGCCAGACATCAAAGACGTGATCTTCACTGACCTGTTCCCCACTTCCCCTTCCCAAATTTCCTGTAATTGAGGAGAGAGAGAGAGAGAGAGAGAGAGAGAGAGAGAGAGAGAGAGAGAGAGAGAGAAAGGGAGGGAGGGAGAAAGAAAGAAAGAAAGAAAGAAAGAAAGAAAGAAAGAAAGAAAGAAAGAAAGAAAGAGAGAAAGAAAGAGAAAAGTAATTGCTATCTGAAAAGGAGGGACAAGGACAAGCTGCCTTCAGCACAGCAGTCACCATACCAGCATCAGAAGCCGGTCATGACCCTATCCACCCCCCTTGGCCACATTTAATAAAAACCTTCCACGCAGACCCCGTCGATGTGTTCCATTCTCAGAGGTCGCCATCTCTCACTTCTCGAGTGTAAAGCATACTATGGCTTTCATAAATTTACTGTGCTTTGCTAAATCCTTCTGTCATGCTCTCAAACCCTTCCTTGGGCTGTGACAAGAACCTGGACCCCAGTATCAGGTTGAGGCCTCCCTTGGCCTCCCCGGGAGCCAACCAGCATCACCCTCTCCAACCAAAATGAGTACACCTTGCCATCTTCCCTCCTGGGGTCTCTGATGTTCAGGGAGCAGTTGTTGGTCTGGGGAGTCCCTGAGGTTATGGAAGCAGCCCAGGGTCCTCTGTTGCAGCTGCTGACCTGGTTGGTTTGGTTGAGAGTCCTAGGGTCATTGGCCCCTTCCAGGAAACAGAAGATGGAAAGTGGGTCCGAGTGGTTCCATCTGAAGGTAAGAGAAGGGACAGGGCACCAGGACATGCAAGCCCTCCTGCACGGTGATGGACCCTGGTGTCTGCAGCTCATACCCTGTATGGTCCTCCAGGGACACTGTGGAGAGCCCCACATTTATCTCTCGGACATTTAGCTTCAGACACTCCCCACCCTCCTCTGCCCCAGCCCACTCACCTTCCCATCACAAGGACAGCAGTAGTAGCAGGCATGATATCTCTGAGACTGGAGGGCCTATTCACAATTCCTTAACACAATCTGATTAGCCCAT